AGAAATTTTCACCTTGCTGACGTGACCCGGCGGCCTGTACCGTCTAGTGCGACCGATGCTTTGAATCTGCCGAGCCCGTGGGTTGCACGGGATCCGGAACGCCTTGCGTCGCCTGCGACGCCCGCGCCGCTGTCTGCACGTTGTATGGGGTGGGTGTAGATGGCATTATACGAGGTGAGCATTTGAACGACATCCGTGCAAAGGGGCGGAGCACTGAGGACTCGGCTTGACCAGTGAACGGCGTGGGCCCGGTCGCGTTCTTCGACGGCCGCTCTTTCTGGCTGGTCAAAGACATGAAGGACTCCGGTCGGGCGGTCGCGGAGGGTGTCGTCGACTTTACCATCACGCACCTGCGAAAAGGCGACTGGAAGCGCTGCCAGGGCCCTTCGGTCGAATGCCCCTTCGATGTCATCCCGCTGCAGTTCAAGTTCAGCCGCGAGCACGCGCGGAAGGTGGCGGCCCGAGCACTTTTTATACAGGGTCATTCGAAGACATACGGCGGGTGCAGGGAACAGGAGTTTTTGAAGCTTGGCGACGGCTTGCCCAGATACGGAATCAACGACAGCGACACTCCGTCCCGCCGCATACGCCCGTGCTTCAGGCCTAGATCGTCGAGCAAGCGGGATAGGAGTCCATCCCCGGAGCCAACTGCACTGAAGACGCAAAAGCTCGAGTTGGAGGAGACCAGCGTCGCGTCCACCAGCAGTGATTCTTCTATTCCCATTCCCTCCTCGCCGTCGGCGGGCGCGACCCCGGGGCCCGTCGTCCCTGATACGCGAACTTTGCGGAGCCTCCGCCTTGCGCTTGATCAGTGGAACGTCGTCTGTGAGCTGCTGATCGCGTCGGCGTTTGCGGTAGACAACGTCCTCTCTGGATTGCACTGGGACGACGCGGTGTACGCGGAGTTGGATCGGCTGCAAGGATTCAACGGGTACGACGCAATTCGTCGGTTCTTCCGCGACCGGAGGCGGCTCGCTCGGGCGCTGAGACACCCGCTGCCGGATGGGTTGCAGGTGTATGAAAACAACGAGGACGATGATGGAGAGCTGTATGAGACGGTGGGGGATCAAGACGATGAGCTCCTCTAGAGGGCGGAAGATGAGGACGGTGACGAAATTTAACGCGTTAGATTGGACGCCTTCTTGTGTATCACACTCGTTCACCGCGCCACCGTCATGTATATATGTGTTGCTCTGCTTGCCGTTATGACACGGTGGTTTCTCTATCCTTTGCTCAGGAATTCCGGACGGAGACCGATGCATCGGCTCACTTCGGCCCCCGCAGGCGCCGGGAGTCGGACCAGGGGCGGCCCGAAATCGGCCGAAAACCCGCCGTATTCGTCAGGAACATCGGATCGGAGCTGTGCCATATACGCCGCTCGGACGGCCGGACCGAATCTTGGCACGCCCGGCCCCGCGGCGGCGGCGGCGGGCATTCCATCGCTCTTACATAATCCGAACTGCGTATAAATAGGAGGCCGGCGCCGCCGCAGAACGGGCCATCGGCAGCGCGGCCCGCACCCGTCCTCCTGGCAAAGTAACCCGCCCTCCATGCCTAGAATCCTGCTCGGTCTCCTGGACGGCAATTTTGCATTGCAACCTCGCTTCAAAATCGATCGCAGAGAAGACGTTCTTCAGCCTGCAAGTTGCTTCAATTCTGAGGGCGTTGATGAATCGGAGGCGCCCGCATCTGATAGGCGCCCGAAAACGGTGAGCCCCGCGCAATTTTGGCGCTGCCGAAAAAGCCTGACGCACGCCCAGGCCGATGAATCCCATGAGGTCGTAAAACGAGCCGACCGCCCTCAGACGGCGGAATAGCTGCACGGGCCACGGAGGGGGCTTCTTTAGCGCTGTTAATTCATATCAGAGTGCGCGGCGAGGATGCCGGGGCGTACAAATCCGCTTGGGTGGGGTTTCTGCTGCGTCCGTCGGCCCCGAAACGCAATGCGCGAGGATCGCGACGGATGGTTCGGGCGCCGCGTGAGCGCGATCCCTTTCCAATCACCGTCGGTGCGGGGCAGAGAGCTTCGGGCCGTTGTTCAACGGCCGTGCGCGCTGCGGCTGCGGTCGGGTTGTTGACCGAGGTCTAAATATGGCGGCGCGCGAGTTGCTTGGCCTCAGCCTGCGCGCGTCTCTCAAGCTTCGGCCGCTCCTCCCACTAACTTGGTCGACCACGGTTTGTTTGCCACAAGCTCCCTTCTACAACTCGTCTCTCTTCTGCGTATATACGACCTCAGTTCTCGTGTCTTAGTTCCTCACCCTGTCTCTCTACCACGCGCTCGTTTGCCGCTCGACAGGTCGACTACTTCCTCATTCCCGCCTCACCCTTCCGCCACCCCTTCTTCTGTACTACGTCTTACAACTGCTCCGTCTTCTGTATTAATTAGATTCGCCTCCGCTGGATTGAGCTCGGTCTCGGGCCGGGAGCGCCGCGTCGCGTTCCCTGTCTTCGAGAGCTGTCGTGGGACGGGCCGGCGCTCCGTCCCAGCGCTACGCAACACCGACCTCGCGATTTCTTCAAGGCTCGCGCAGGGATTCTTTCTGACTCAATTCCTTTGTTCTCCCTCTCGTGTGCCTTGGCACCGATCGCGTTCCACTTTGTATATATTAGAGCACCTCGGTTCTATTCAGATACACCCTTTACCGCTACAATCATCGTCTTGTCCGAGGTCTCGGTCCCGTTCCGTATTGTTCTCGTGCCCGTCTCTTGCGTGTTTGTCGTCTTCGCCTGCACTGTTTATCGTCCGCCGAGCTAGTCGGTGCGATCAGCGGTCACCGAGCCGTGCCCTCAAGGCTGCTCGCCTGCGATCTCGTAAACCGCGGATAGACTGCCGGGAAGGAGGTTTCATAGAACTCTTCTTACCTTGAGCGCGCTAAGCCCATGTTCATAACAGCGTTCACGTCGCCGAGAGCGCACGTCCGCGTCCTTACCGTCGGGGCGTGCCGACGCAGCGCTCTCACCGAGGTCCCCCAAGAGAGCAGCGGCGACGCGATCCATCTCGCTTCGCTCGTCCAACTCAAACGCCCGAATAGATTGTGTACTTATAGAAGGCGCAGCCTTCAATTTCCCACGCGTCGGCCGCTGAGCCGGACGCCAGCACATCACCTTCAGGCTTCGACTTCTCCCCTTGACAGCTTGACCTCCCATACTCATTATTGGACAACCTCCACCATTGCAAGATGCTTTACACCAGAGGCTGAAGGGGTGCACACTCGCGCGGGTGTTGGGAATGGACTTAATATGCCATGTACGTTCACTCGATCTTCTTCTGCCGTCTTTCTTTCATTTTCAACCATCGGTCGCGTCCTCCACACACTGTCGTTTGCTACAACTCCCGTCCTGTCCTCTTTCGTCCATGCAACTAGCTTGTGTAAGCCATCCAGACCTACCCAGCTAATCAACTATAACCCCAGCACGTATGAATTCTGTTACACCTCTGAGGGCTCAACGTCAACCTACCCACAATCCAAATGCCCCAGCTGCGCGCACGTCAAAGTATGTCTCGCGCACGTCAGGGCTCCATGGCTCACGGCACAAGTTCTTCAAGTCCGGACTGGAGACCCACCCCCCCGGAAGTACGCTTGGGCGAACGTGAAGACGAGGGTGAAGCGCGCGGAACTTGTACGTGTGACACGAGATGATCGAGTATGCGCCCAACTTGTCGATTGCCAGGTATATGCGGTGTGCGCGCGCTGGCGTGTCGGTTGAATATGCATATTTAGAACACGGTTTCGATGTATGTAGCCAGGGTCTTCGATCGAGGATGGGCTCAACCCCGAGTTCCCTCGCAACGGCTCGGCGTTCTTCAGTGGTACCGCTGCCTCAGGCAGCGGAGACTGGAAGTGGCTACTGACAGAAGGTGGACATGTGAGAGGTGCGAATGCCACCTCACTGCGAACTTCGCGGGCTGACGACCACGCATGTTCGCAGCACACGACCTTCGGAGGCAAGCAAGGCTTCACCCGATGGCCGTCCACGCCCTTGTACGATGGCAGCGGCGCGCTTGCCAGCGTCGTCCACCAGGAGCGCGGCTGGGCCTACGTCCTCTTCCTCCGTGCCGGCCACCTCGTCCCTCAAGGTGCGCCCACCGCGGTGTTCCTCGTAACCCCATCGTTCGTTTCTCCTCCCTGTGTCGAGCTGCCTTCGGCCGCGGGGTGGCGTTGAGCCATAATCTCAAGATGATCGCCATGTTTCTCCTACTACCTTTTTCAACATCGATCAGTGTACTCTCCGATGCGTGCCGAGTGCTCGCAGAATGCGCGAACAAACCGGTTTATCGGCCTCCATCGATATCCAAGCAAGTCAATATTATGCCTTCTTATTCGCCACTAATCATGCCCTGCTAGCCGTCGGGGGATCATGAGCTAGCTCATTAGATTAGACTAATATAGGGGCTTCGACTAATGACACTAATCGGGTCTCATTACACTCTATTATGTCCCAATAGATATCCGATTTTCCCCTTCCTGGTGAGTTCATCCGGAACCGGGCGACCAAGAAGTTCTGCACTGTAACATGCCCCAGCCCTGTGTGTGCTGCCCAGAGACCACAAACTCCTTTATATAACCAGATGGCCCAATCTAGTCCTTCCAGAAGCCGGACGACGTGTTTTCTGCATGCAGCGCCGGGCTCACTTCGACCTGGTCCGGGTGGACGGCTCCTCCGCGAAAACCGGGTGGGTCCGGCCGGACGACTCCCCTGGGAAAACCGGGCGAGTCCAGCCGGACGACTCTGCCGAGGTAACCGGGTGAGTCCGGCCGAGCCCGGGTGAATGGTACCTTCGGCAAATGGCGGTGTCCCGGCTGACCGACTTTGCCGAGGAAAGCCGGGCCATGCACTGACCGTCGGTCAAACGTGGTACGCAGGTGCGGACTACTCCACTGTGGCTCCAGAGGATCTTGGAGGACTTCGTGGTCGCCTGCGGCTTCGCTTGGATTGAGGTATGTTTCCATTGAAGCTCCTCCCTTACAAGTCTCGCTCATGATGATCCCCTGTCATAGGCTCCCGGAGAGGCCGAAGCTGAACTTGCCCACATGAACAAGACGGGCTTTGTCGACGTCGTCTTGACAGATGACAGCGATGTGCTCGTGCTGGGTGCACCCGTGGTAATGCGCAAGTACGTCTTTCGGTCCGCTACCTCGCCTAAGCATTGGAGCTCACCCTGCACTCCCTCTAGCCCGGTTAACTACAAGAGAGACTGCTCTGACCACGTTCGGGTCTACCGAGCTACCGACATTGAGAGCAAGGCTGACCTGACCCAGGGCGACATGCTGCTCTACGCTCTGTTGGTTGGTAATGACTATCATGTAAGCCTCTGAGTTGTTTCGGTCGCCGTGTTGACATCGGCTGACTCTTATGTGGGGATTCTTGCAGGACGGTCTCAAAGGATGCGGACAGGCCGTCGCCCTCGAAATAGTCAAGTGCGGCTTTGGCCAAATCCTGTACGAAGCCCTGCTCAGGTACCCAGATAACAACGACCACAAGCTGGCAGTGTTTCTTGCGGGCTGGAGATACCGCGTGAAGTGCGCGCTCAAGGCCGGCTCCACGAACTTCAAGCGCAAACACCCCGCGCTGGCCGAGAACATAACTGACGCTTTCCCCGACCTTTACGTGGCCAGAGTCCAGACTATTCCTACACCCTCTCGTCTCTCCCGTTGAGCGCTATGAGGCGATCCCTGGACCGCGACCTATGGATCTCGCGCGGCTCGGCCATCTCTGCGAGCTCCACTTCAGCTTTGGAAGCTCCACCGGCATCAAGGACACATTCCGCACCGCGCTATGGCCTGGGGAGTTAGTCAGTATGTTGGTAGCTGAAGGGCTGGTGAAACTCGGCCATGCTATTGAACCGGTTGTTGTAGTATGGCGTTTCCATCCTTTTCCCTTTGACGCTTACGTTTATCTTATCTTTGATATCACATGACGTTTATCGTACGCTTTGTTCGCTTTGTATCAGATCTCTAATGGCTCGTTATCTCTCGCACTTACCCGATTGTTACTCGCTTACTATACGCGTACTATTCTCTTTATTATCCGTTCTATTGCCTTTGTCACTAGCTACATAGTATTTAGCTCAGCGCTATTCAATGCTATCTCTATCGTTCTACCTCTCCCCGCTATCTGCGTGCTTTACTCCAACAGGTTATGAGCCCTGCCCACTAGGCTCTGACCCGCTACGCTTATCCACTGCACTAAGCTTGTCATCTTATCTCTGCTTTCCCACACTACGTCATGCCCTCCGGAGGATCAAGCTCGGGCGCCAGCGGCTCTGGCGGCTCGGGTGGCTCGAGTGGCGCTACCGGCGGTACCAGTGGCACGAACACTCTGGGCGCGATGGAGATCTGGCGCGGCACGAAGTTCGTCTCGCTAGACGGACCGGAGGACTGGCCGATATGGAAGGCCCAGCTGGAGGCTTACCTCTGGGAGTTGGGACTTGCTGAGTACGTATACGAGGCGCCGATCAAGAAACCGGCCGGCAACTCGGACACCGACTGGATCAAACACGATCGACAGGCGAGGAACGCGATCCTGATGCGCGCCGGGAAGCGCGGCATCAAAATCATGCGAGGAGCGGGGACGGCGGCGGAGATGTGGGTGAAGCTGGGGAAGAACTTTGAGTCGAAGGGGGTGATGAAGATCATCGAGCTGCGCCGTAAGCTCCTTCTCACGCCGTACACGGAGGAGGACGACATGGACGAGTGGCTGGAGAAGATGCAGGAGTGGCGGGAGGACCTCGGGGTGTTGATCCGGAAGGTACCCGACGATGAGTTCTCGCTTATTCTCTTGCAAGCGCTCCCGCCCTCCTGGGACAGCTTCGTCGGCTCGATCAACTCCATCAAGGACTTCGACGATCCCGATGACATCATGATGCGCATCCGGGATCAAGCACGTCGCCGCCAATCACACGTCTCGCTACACGCCAACACCGCCGGCTCGTCCGCGAAGAAGGTGAACTGCTTCAAGTGCGGTAAACCTGGGTATCAACGCGATTGCCCGAACCACGATAAGAAGAAGAAGAAGGGTGGGAACGGGAAGCGGAAGGAGGATGGGAAGGACGGGAAGGGCGGCAAGGGGAAGGAGAAGGCACTGGCAGCCGAAGAAGACTCGGACTCGGACTACGCGTACGCCTCGATCGCGGAGGTCGGGGATCTCGCGCTGACCGCTGTGAGTGCCGACGCCTGGATTGCCGATACCGGAACGACCGTGCACGTCGCGCGTGAGCGGTCCATGTTCGCTTCCTACACACCCACTCCAGGCCGCACGCTCCGCGGCGCGGGACAGTCACCCATCCTCGGGCGCGGCGATGTCTACGTCAAGTTCACTGCTGGCGGTCGCGCTACGACCGTCTGTCTCCGCGACGTTGTACACGCACCCGGGATTCCCCACAACCTCCTCTCCATCGGCCGCGTCGAAGCTGGTGGACACAAGGTCGAGATGGCCGAGGGGGAGCTTCGCGTCAGGAACGCGAAAGGACGGATCTACGCGCTCGGCAAGCGCGTCGGCAACTTCCTCTACCGGATGGAGGGGGAGACAGTCCCGGGTGCCGAGGCGCCTCGACCTGACGTCACTCTCGCTGCTGCTGTCTCGCATCCGAAGACCACTCGTACGATGGACGACTGGCACCGCGTCTTGACACACGTCAACATCAAGGCGCTGGAGACCATGGCCAGGAAGGGCATGGTGACCGGGCTCGTCATCGCGAAGGGCAGCCCGCAACAGTGCGCCGCATGCGTACAGGGCAAGCAGACCAAGGCCCCACTGCCGAAGAAGTCGGAGACGGTCACGCACGCGATCGGGGATCTCACGGTGATGGATCTCTGGGGCAAGGCGCCGGTACCCGGCATCCGCGGAGAACGCTACTTCTCCACGTTCACGGACGTTCACTCCCGTCGCACCATCACGTACTTCTCGAAGACGAAGACCGATGAGCTCGAGCACCTCCAAGATTACGTCGCACACGTGAAGAACATCCATGGAGTCACGCTCAAAAAGATCCGCTGCGACAACGGTGGGGAGTATCTATCCGAGCGCTTTACCCGACATCTTGCCGAGCTCGGGATCACTCTCGAGACGACCGCCCCGCGTACCTCTGGCCAGAACGGCATCGCTGAGCGCCTCAACCGCACGTTGATGGAGCGCGCTCTGACGATCATGATCGCGGCCGACATGCCGAAGTATCTCTGGCCGGAGGCGGTCGCTTATGTCACCTACGTCAAGAACCGCCTGCCGACGCGCGCTGTTCCGGACAAGACGCCGGAGGAGGTCTGGACGGGCGTGAAGCCCGACGTCTCCGATCTCCACGAATGGGGCACCAAGTGCTGGGTACTTACCGACCGGCAGAAGCGCACGAAGCTCGACCCGAGGTCTGAACACGTGCACTTCATGGGCAAGGCTGATGGCTCCAAGGCATGGCGCTTCTACGACCCGCGCGCGCGACGCGTCGGCAAGTCGCATGACATCATCTTCTCGATTACTCCGTCTCCGTCCGACTCGGAGGACTCCGATGAAGACGTCGCGCCCGCGCTTGTTCCACCGGCGATCGCGACCGCACCCCCCGCACCCGTGCCTGCACCCACTGCCCCCGCGCCGAGTGCGCCGCTCGAGGGGGAGAAGGCGAATGACGAGAACGCCGCACTCAAGCGTTCGATGCGCCAGAAGACGCGGATCGACTACAAGGCGCTGCACGAGGGCAAGGGCAAGACGCCCAAGATCACCGCGGTCGCGGACGAGTACGACGAGTGCGATGAGACACTCGTCATGTGTCTGCATTCGCTCAACGGCAACGAATCGACTGATGAACCGCGCTCGTACAACGAGGCCCTCGCGGATCCCGTCTTGGCTGATCGCTGGAAAGCGGCCATGGATGCGGAGATCGCGCAGCACGAGAAGCAAGGCACCTGGGAACCCGCGGAGCTCCCGGAAGGCCGCAAGGCGATCGGCTCGCGCTGGGTCTTTCGCATCAAACGCGATGCTCAGGGGGAGATCATCAAGGCGAAGGCGCGCGTCGTCGCGCAAGGCTTCGGGCAACAATGGGGGAAGGACTACTTCGACACTTACTCCCCGGTCGTCAAGCCCGACTCCATCCGCATCATCCTCGCGATCGCGACTCAGCGCGGGATGATCCTTCGCCAGTATGACGTCGTCGGCGCGTACCTCAACGCCGATCTGGAGGAAGAAGTCTACATGCGCGCTCCGCAAGGCTACGGCAAGGGCACCGTTCGCGTAAACAAGGCGCTCTATGGGCTCAAGCAGTCCGCCAACGTCTGGAACGTATTCTTCGATCACATCCTCGTTCATCATCTTGGCTTCACCCGCCTTCAGGCCGACGCCTGCGTTTACTTCAAAACCACGATCGAAGGTTTCCTCACTATGGCCGGCATTCACGTCGATGACATGTTCGCTGGAGCCGACAAGGATTACCTCATCGAGGAGCTCGAAATAGCACTCTCGGCACGCCTCGAGATCACCGCTCTTGGCGAACCGCGCCTCCTCCTTGGGATCGAGATCTCCTATCAACGCGAGAAGCGACATCTCACCCTCTGCCAGGAGGCATTCATCCGCACCGTCCTCAAGCGCTTCGGCATGGAGGACTGCAAGCCCGTTTCGACGCCGCTCGACCCGAACGTCAAGCTCGTCAAGGAGTCCGAAGACGCCGACCGCTCCGAGATGTCCACCGTGCCTTACCAGGCGCTCGTCGGCAGCCTCATGTACATCGCGCTCGGCACCCGCCCGGACATCGCCTATGCCGTCCAGACGCTCGCGCAGTACAACTCGTGCTACGGCCTCAGCCACTGGACCGCCGCGAAGCGCGTCTTGCGCTATCTCAAGGGCACTTCGAACTACGGCATTACCTACTCGGGCAAGGGGGAGCACAAGGTGCGCGCCTTCTACAACAACTTCCGCATTGAAGGCTACTCCGACGCGGACTGGGGCGCCAATCCCGACGACCGGCGATCCATCTCCGGCTACGCGTTCCTGATCGGAAATGGCGTCGTCGCTTGGAGCTCGAAGAAACAGACCACGGTAGCGCTCTCGTCTATGGAAGCCGAGTACATGGCGATTTCGTACGCCGCGCGACACGTGATCTGGCTTCGCGCGCTGCTCGCCGAGCTCTCTTTCGCGCAGAAGGAGGCCACGCGCATCAACGCGGACAATCAGTCCGCGATCGCACTGTCCCGCAACAACGTCCAGCACGCGCGCTCCAAGCACATCGACATCCGACATCACTTCATTCGCGAGTGCATCGCTTCGGACTCGATCGCGCTGCAATATTGCCCTACGGACGACAACGCGGCCGACATCTTCACCAAGGCGCTCGCGCGAGACAAGTTTCAGTCTTTTCGCACGCAACTCGGCATCTTACCAGTGCAGAGTTGAGGGGGAGTGTTGTAGTATGGCGTTTCCATCCTTTTCCCTTTGACGCTTACGTTTATCTTATCTTTGATATCACATGACGTTTATCGTACGCTTTGTTCGCTTTGTATCAGATCTCTAATGGCTCGTTATCTCTCGCACTTACCCGATTGTTACTCGCTTACTATACGCGTACTATTCTCTTTATTATCCGTTCTATTGCCTTTGTCACTAGCTACATAGTATTTAGCTCAGCGCTATTCAATGCTATCTCTATCGTTCTACCTCTCCCCGCTATCTGCGTGCTTTACTCCAACACCGGTGAGCTGTTCAATGTGTTTAGCCGTAAGATCGAGCTGACACGTTGATTCCTTGATTATAGCCACCCCGTAGCCTCCTCAATTTTGAGGTTCTCGAAGTCGCTGGTCCGCCGTTCTTCGGCTACGCTCTTGCCACTGTGAGGATCCACGACACCGGATTCCACGATGCTGCAACGAGTGCGCTGAGAGCCCTTCGAACATTCCGTCCAACGCGCAAGAACCAAACCGAGGCCGCTGTTTTAGCGCGTGCGGAGCTCCCGTTAGTGTTCAAGATCCCTGCGCTTATCATTGAGCGGGCTCGCCCGCTTCTCGTGAACCCACAGTTCTATGAGATCGGGGTGAACTACGGCAATGCGGCTTATGCAAAGTAAGTGGTTGCGCTCTTGCCACTGTCTCTTCTGTACTGATTTCATGACCCCATCGTTCAGCTTGCCGGTGCCGCACGAGGAACCGACCCCGACTGCTGTAACGTCGGGTTCATCGTCTGCAGGCTTTGCGGATGTAAGAGCTGCGATTGAGGCGATCTGGCGCGCAGAAACGCCTAATGGTGTGATCGATTTGACTTTTGATGATTAGAGTGCGCGTTTTCATAGTTATGTCCCCTGCTCCCATGTATTACCGACCTATGAAGTGATCATGACAATTTTGTACATCAGCTTATGTGTTACATTGTACTATGTGTCTGATGAAGCCCCTCGACGCTGCCGCCCTCCTCCTTAGACCTCCGCATAACCCTGTCGGTAGATCAGTGAATTTTCGTGGCTAACTCAAGCGCAGTGGCAGGTGCGGCGGCAATGGGTGCATGGTGCGGTCCCGAGGCGGTACGGGTTGAAGAAGTCCTGGCGCTGGACGTTTGGAGTGTCCACGATGGAGCTAAGGTACTTCCACACCGTGCTCGGGTTGTCACTCCGAGTGCTCCACCCGCCCCACAGGCAGACGTCGCGGATGTGCCAGCGGCGAACCATTGCCAGGTACTGGCAACCACCACGGCGGAATGAGTGTGTGCCGAACGGGCGTGGGTCCTTGCCGATTTCGAA